GCGTTTCGCTGCACCTATTGGTTCTCGAGTTATCGGCTGGGGGCGTTTAACGCCCCCCCAGCAAACGGTGGGTGGCGAAATACCCCAGCAACTGCCGGGTAAAAGTACCATCGTAATTCTCTCGTCATTCCGCATCGAAACATGTATGTGTTGACCTCGAGAGGTCAAGGTCAAAGGTTGGCTTCAGGTCACGCTACCTCAGGTCGCTTGACCTCAAGGTTACGTGAGTCCAAGGTCATCTTGTATATCATTCGATGCGCCTTGACGAGCTGAACACAATGAGACCATTTGCGCGGCTGTATCTTTTTTCTGTGAGTATTTATTAGCAAAAAAGCGTTAGATAACCTTTGATGACGTTACATGCCCTTACAGCTGTCCAATAGGAAATATGGCATCAAGGTAGTCAAAGTTGGTCATGAATTATGTCCTTTATGGTATAATTGACGATGACAGCTCGGCCGTCCCAGCATAGTGACTCTGAGCGCCGGCCAAGTTGCCCCGCTAGTCCAGGCCAAATAACCCCACATTGCCATTCTGAAAATGTTTGTCTATAATGTCGTCATGGCTGTACAGAACTACACCTTTTTTCAATCCGAATCGGCATCCGTTCAGTTAGTTTCGGCAGATCTGCGTTAGGAACGTCAGCCGGAGTGCGCTTTCGACAAACCACGCCTCAAACTCGGCATAGTGCAGCAGCGTGACATGGGGCATTTAATTTTGACACTGAGCGGGGTTTCGACACTGGCCAATGGATTTCGGCACACGGCATAGGACTGTGACATCGGGCATTGAAAAAGGCAAATTTCATTTTACAATGGCAATGGTCATTCAATTTCTTTGCCGTTATAACAAGCAAAATCAAGCAAATTTCATACCACATTTTGTATATTGATTTGTTTCCAATGCTTACCACTTGAATTTATGGCATTTTCCTTTTGTTAGACTTCCCTTGGATTAATGGAACACAAAATACGCCAAGGCCGTGGTTTTAAGGTCTAAACGTTTTTTTTTTCTTCTGTGAATGGAGGGTGATAAGGCTATGTAGCAAGCCATGTCAGAGTCGTGAGATGAGAGGATCATGCGGAGGAAGCATTTGGGTGAGTCTACCAGTGACCGGTGAGCTGCGGCGGCTGACAAGGCGCCGGTATAAAACTGTCCCGCTACGGATATACAGCCAAAGCGATCGATGGGTCAGCCCCTAGGGTTTCCACCTTTCCAGAGGGCAGTTTTTTTTTGTCAAGAAATACAGTTGACCATGACTGACCACACCGCCGTCCTGCAAACATTGTTGCCGCTCTCCGGTGACACGCCCATTCCCATTTCGGCAGACCTGAACCATCCGCGCTGGCGGTCAGCGCCACTCACAATGTGTCGACAGATCGACACAAATGAAAAAATCAATATTTTTGTTTTTCATGCAAGAAATACGGCTAAAACATTGTCAACTTTAGATGCGTTGAGAGGAGCGAGGCCCCGAATGACCCCCGTCAACCTTTGGATTCGCCTGGGGCGTGGCCCCGAATGACCCCCGTCGCCCTTTGGATTCGCCAGTGCTTCCACATTGTCACAGAGTGACGCAAGGATGGTGACCTCGAATGAGGTCAGCTTGTGTGCCGGAAGCGGTTGATGTTAGGGACGAACCGGTGTTAAGGTTCCAGAGCGACTGACGAAATTAGGTGCCCGTTGCCGTATTCGAACGAACGGTTGCCGATTCGGATTGAAGAAGTTGTGGTTACTTAGCAACCAAGCGCCCATATTGAGGGGCTCTTTACAGCATCGTGGAGCATTTTAACACAGATCCTTAACCCGCGCACCGACGGGGGTCTGCGCCAACTTCGCACCGACGGGGGGGGGGGGCGGATGACCGCCCCCCCCCCTGAGATCTCGAGAACGAAGCAAGATAGCGACAAGCGGTAAACGGCATCGGATATGCACGGCCAAGATCTACAATTTTTACTAAGGTCATTTTCAGGTCAGGTCAAAGATGACGTCACAGGGGTCGAAAAAGTCAAAATGGCGGCGCTAGATATGGAGAGTTTTTCTCGAATAACTTTCGAATTAGTCAAGATAGGAACAAACTAAGGGCATCATCGTGATCCTCTCGTCAATCCGCATCGAATGATATATATGTTGACCTCGAAAGGTCAAGGTCAAAGGTTGACCTCAGGTCACGTGACCTCGAGGTCATCATGTATATCATTCGATGCGTCTTGACGAGCTGAACACAATGAGACCATCCACTCGTCTGTATCTTGTTCCTGTACGGAGTTATTGGCCAAAAACCTTTGGTGACCTTTGATGACGTCACATGACCTCACAGCTGCCCAACAGCAAAACAGACCTCAAGGTAGTGAAGGTTGATCGTATATGAAGTCATGTATGGTATATGGGGCCATTCCGACCCGTTTTAGTGGTAAAAACAGGGAGTTGATTTTTCCCCCATTGACTTATAATGGGGAGGTCGCGAAATTGACCTGACCTTAGGTCACCGATATCAAAATTCCGAGATATACAAATTGTAGCTACTAATGACCTAGTAATATCCTGCGACTTTCAAAGGCCTCCGACATCTACTGTAGCTCTGGCAAGGTGACAAAGTTGCAAAAAAGTGACTTGAGGTTAGGTCATTCAAAATGACCTGGTGACCTGACCTTAAAAGGTAGGAGGTTCAAACTTGCACACCATGTGTAAAATTGATGAGGTTATAGTCATACCAAATTTCGCGGCGCTACGCGCCGCGGTTTTCCCGCTATTCGCGAAAAACCTCAGGGGGGGGCGGATATCCGCCCCCCGTCGGTGCGCGGGTTAAAATGCCTTTCCAAAAAAGATTTGAGTTGCTTAATTCACTGATGAAATAAATTGACCATTGTCTAGCTAAGCTGCAAGCTGCCGAAGTAAAACGCAATATGACTAAACGGAATGCCTTTTGTCGATATTAAATGCCTCTGTCGTTGTTCAATGACCCTGGTCGAATATCAACAGATGCTATTCTAAATCCGTGAAACGTGTCGAAATGCGTGCTCCAGTGTCGTGTTGTTCGAGTGCCTGTCGAGAAAAGGTGCCCGCTGCCGTAATTGAATGAACGGATGCCGATTCGGATTGAAAAAAGGTGTAGTTTACACAACGCGCTTAGATTAAGTTGGGTGGTGCGCTTACTGGGACATGAATCGAGATCTGGTGATATATTCCGATCTCGCATTGCCCCGTTTACGGTCAACACTTTTTTGAGAACTAGATTCAATGAACAGGTCTTGGAAAGATGTAGACTCAGCGGTTTTCACAAAGATTTGCTCCGGAAATTCAAGAAGTTGTTCCACAAACCCTGCCCCGGTTCTAACGAAACAGTTCGAGAAGAGATTTTGTGGTATAATGAAAAAATATTGATAGATAACAGTCCTGTGTTCTTCCCTCGAATGTATCAGAAAGGAATAATATTCATTAACGACTTGCTTGCAACCCAGGGACAGTTAATGACATACGTGGAATTTTGCGAGAAATACAACTTTAGAGTGAACAGCCTTCTGTATCAAGGATTAATAAGGGCTATCCCTTCTGATTGGAAGTTATATTTACGGCGACCTGGAGACTTTCTTGATGTAGGACAGATGAGAGGGGCTGCTATTTGCTGCCGGATACTAGGATCAAAAGTAAAGTGGATCGTAAATTTAAGGACAAAAGAGTTATATCTTTTAGGTTTGACAAGTCAAAAACCAAAGTCTCTAATAAAGTGGGAAGCCGAGCATCTAGCCCCAGAAGCTTGGGCCACATACCTTAAGATTCCATACACGTGTTGCGCTTCCACCCAACTTCAGTCCTTTCAGTTTCAGGTGTTGCACAGATATTTGCCAACTAAACGCTTTTTGCACGTCAGACGAGTCATAGACACGCAGAGTTGTGACTATTGTGGAGAATCCGATACTCTCGTACATCATTTATACAATTGTCCACCTGTGCACGCCCTTTGGATTAGGCTATTTCGTAATATGAACTCGAGAATACGACCTGCACATGTTCCGTGCGATGCTCGTTCCGTGTTGTTCGGTGCAACGCAGGTGCCATGTGTCATTAATGTCATCATTCTGTTAACCCATTAGTGCCCAATGTTCCCATTTGGGAACATTGACAATTTTGGCTCTAGGCTCTGATCCTGGGATTGCACAGCGATTATGAATATTGGTTCTGGCATCTGAAGCCCTGAACAAAATTTAGCAGCCTAAAAAACTTGAATTTCACCCTTATAAAGCACCTCTCTTGATTTTTGAAATAGCCCTTTTTTGCCACACTGTACCTTCATCAAGAAAATAATTTCCTTAAAATCGATTTTTTGATAGATTTCCTTATAATTTCCAGTAATGCTTCAACAATAAGTTCCAATTGTACGGGAGAAATATCAAAAGAAATGCTTCACCACAAAAGCGTCGGGGGCTTCCAAAATTTGGATGTTCCCAAATGGGAACATTGGGCACATCCACTGGTATGTCAGCTCATAATGGACTGACATTGGAAGGCAAAAGCGAAGCTCTTTTTCTCTCTCCTCGCGCTCTCTCATTTCTCTCTCTCTCTCTCTCTCTCTCTCTCTCTCTCTCTCTCTCTCTCTCTCTCTCTCTCTCCATCTCCCATTTCCTCCCTCCCTCTCTTTCTCTCACTCTCACTTGTTCTCAATTTCCACTGACTCAATTTGCACGTCCTCTCTGGCTGGTTCTGCTCTCACGCTAGGTCCTACACCCGGTGTGTCAAGTGACAGTATCGCTCACGTTACTGATGCTCGGATGATAGAGCGTCGTCTAGTCCAGTGTTATATCCGTCGGCGCCAATGTCAGCGAATGGAGTAGGGTCATTGTTGGTATCGACGAGTCAAGAACGCTGGGCCAGGTGAGGGCAGAGCAGGGTGCGAGTCTCTTGGGCTGGGCGGAGATGTCGTCCTTCGGCTCCTGGAATGTCTTCAGACGCCTGCCTTGCACCATGTGTTCTTTGACAACTACTTCTCGTCGTATGCCTTGATGATAGCTCTCCGTCAAAGAGGCATCCGAGCAACGGGCACTGTGCGCGACAACAGGCTGAAGAAGTGTCCCCTGCCTGACAACAAAACTGCTGAAAAGGCGCCCAGGGGACAGCATTGGTACCAATCCACTAACGGGGTGCTGGCCGTGAAGTGGAGAGACAACAGGGCAGTGACAGTGGTCACAAATCACTCGGGCATCAGCCCACTCAAAGACGTGCAGCGCTGGTCGGGTGACGAAAAGAAAAAGGTGACGGTCAAGCAGCCGAACCTCATATACGAATATAACCAGTACATGGGTGGCGTAGACCTAGTGGACGGAGCGGTGGCGGCTTACAGGCCTGTGATCCGGTGGAAGGAATGGTACGGCACGCTCGTCACCAACGCATTCGGTCTACTGAGAGTAGCCAGCTGGCGCATGTACCGCAGCTGCACCGGGAGAAGTGTGGACCAGCTGGTGTTCACTCGCGAGGTCGCTTTGGAGCTCCTAAAAAAAAAAAAAAAAACGAGACAAGAGCCATGACCGCCAAACGTCACCGACAGCGGACCAGGACCCAGCAGCGGCCGGGTGACGGTGGTCTCCCGGACTGCACAAAACCACTTCATCGTCCCGGCTGCCACTCAAGGCCGCTGCAAGCTGTGTCAAAAAAATACGCGTACAATGTGTAGCATCTGCCAAGTACGACTGCATAACCACTGCAGCCAGAACTACCACACCTAGGCTGCCGCCACGGGGCTGGCACTGCAGACGCATATGTAGTATACACTGATGCTCTGACACTGCTGACTAATCCCGAGCAACGGGCACTGTGCGCGACACAGGCTTGAGATGATGTCTCGCTTCAACAGGTGAGACACTTTGGTGATGGATGGAAAACTGGTATCGCTGGCTTGTGATTTATCGTTCTAAATGTCTCGCTCTACCGTAAGAGTAGAATAAAACGACTTTGGGTGTCAAAAATGTGTGCTGACAAGGGTCGATCAGTGAAGTGAGACCACGATCTCATTGTGGATAGTGACAAGGTCAAAAAGAACAAAAAGCCCTTCTTTAAAACGTTGTATAATATGTGTTTCTACTGTTGCTTTCTTCGTTTCTATCCGCATACTGCATACGCCTCTTACCCCCATTTGTGCCCAATGTTCCCAAATGGGAACATAATTTTTCACCAAGTTCGATTTTTTTTAGGGTAAAACCAATGCCACAGCTGGAATCAGTGACGTCGAAAACCATCGGAACACCATTCGAAATATCAAATATCGCCGTATTTATATGCTTGGTCATTAATGGGTTAACGAAGCGTTACATACATGTTCAGCGTAGGGATGGTAGGACACTCGTGATGGCGCAGTTGAAATCACAGGTAGAACAGTTTTATGAGGCAGAGAGAATAATCGCTTTGAGAGGAAATCGAATGAAACATTTTGCTGCCAAATGGCGATGTATTTATGTTGAAAATGGTATAGCGATATAACGCTTACGGTCGACTGGTTCGATCAATATATGATTATGGTTGTGTAATGTGTTGCAGGCAGGCGACAGATGTAATATCAAGATATGTTTTAGTGATGTGTTGTGCTTCGTATGTGTAAATAAAGTGAAAAAACTCCTGACCTAAGGTGACCTAAGACTTGAAATTTGGTGTGTAGGTGTCACATTGATGCCCGGGAAGGTACTTAAAAATTTGGCGGCGCTGCGCGCCGCCGTTTTCTGGCTATTCAGGAAAAACCACAGGGGGGGGGGGGGGGCATAATGCCCCCCCCCCCAACGAGGCGAGGGTTAAGGAAGCGGCACATCATCGACAAAAACCATTTTCTCCAGCGATTTACACCACCTTGTCGTCGATCAATTAGCTTTTCACAATTTTCCCATGACAGGCGGTACATTTCTCTTGTCAACAGGCGTTGTTTCAACTCGCTCCGTTTAACGGTCACCTAAAAATAAAATTAATTCCAAAATCCCCCAAAATCCCTCAAAGGCAGCAATTTTTCAAATAAAAGTGCCCTCTCCGGTGCACGTGGCGCGTGCTATCCTTTGCATTGCACAACACCTTTCAATAGCCCGTTCAATTCTGTACACGATGCTGTTTTCCCCGTGCCGGTCGGATCCCCGGTCACCTAAGATATTGCACGGGGACTGGACCCGTGTCGGCCAAAATTAGCCGTTTTCGCCCGATTTCGCACGCCGATTTATACATGTTAAGTCTATGACGCGAATTTGCACTTTTTTGGCACGCGCCACGCGCTCACTCACTAACGACCCGATCGAGCTGAGACACATTGCTAATTGCAGCTCGACATTGCACTAACGACACATTGCTCCAACAGACGGTAAATAACTTTTGAAAATACCTATCTCCAATTTTAGTGTTTTCTGAACCAAAATTTTGCGAGGAATCTGATGGTGTGGTCCCTGAAATCTAAAAAATTTCCATTTTGGAGATAGCACCTAATTTTTGAAAAGTAAATATTCGTCATGCACAAAAGTCAAATAAATTGAAAATATAATGAGTGAATATTTATACTAACACTAGAATGTATCGAACATGAATTAGTGATATATTTTAGATGAGATGATACTATATCTGCTCATACATGTACATGAATTAGTACATTAACCCGCGCCCTGCTGGGGGTCCTGGATTTCCACGCCCTGCTGGGGGGGGGGGGGGTGTTTGAACACCCCCCCTTCTAACTCGGCTCCTGGGCCACGTAGCGATACGCGGAAGGCGGCGTTCGAAAGAGCGCCAAAAATAATGAGGAAATCACTTCGGTCAATTTTTTGGTCAGGTCAAAGGTCAGGTCACCAGAGGTCATTGAAGGCAAAGTTTCGCCGATTTCCAGGTCGAATGTCGACAATTTCCAAGTAGCCAACGCATAACTCGGGAACCAATAGAGCTACAGCGCCGCGGAAAAGCGCATTCGATAGCCCTATTAGCGCCCTTTCTGGGTAATGTTCTCAGATTTGACCTAACGTCAACGGTTTTGCCTGCAGGGGGCAAAAACTGCAAAAATAGCCGATTTTTTTCGGAAACAGTTTTTCTGCAATAACTTTTGACCCAAGCCTTGTACGAGCTTACTTTTACCGGCATCGTGTTCCTCTCGTCAAGACACATCGAATGAACTATAACTTGACCTTGAAAGGTCAACTTGAAAATTTGACCTCAGGTCAAGGTCATGACCTGACCGGAAAGGGTCATGTTGCATATCAGTCGATCCGTATCGTCGAGCTGAACACATCTAAGGCGTTTTCATCGCTCTAGCATGCCTCTATCAAAAGTTATTTGCGAAAAACTGTTAGATACCATTCGTGAGCTAAGTTGACCTCAGGGCATAAACAGGGGTCACGGACACCATTTTCATGTTCAGTGTGTCTAAACCACTTGTAATTCAGTGTTTGGGAGTGTTTTTAATGTCTTTCGTCCAAAAGAGGCGCATTTCAATTTTCTCCCATTGACTTATAATGGGGAGGTCGCAAAATTGACCTGACCTTAGGTCATCGATATCAAAATTCTGAGATATACATTTTGTACATGCTATTGCTACTAGCAATCGCTGAAAGTTTCAAAGCGATCGGTCACTCGGTGTAGCTATGACAGACATTGAAACTTTTTATGAGGTTAGGTCACTTCAAGTGACCTGGTGACCTGACCTTGAATGACCTTGGTCTGAAATTTTCACAACATGTGTAGAATTGATGAATGATAAGGTGTACCAAAAACGGCGGCGCTCCGCGCCGCCGTTTTTGATATATTCGCGAAAAACCACAAGGGGGGGTGTTCAAACACCCCCCCCCCAGCAGGGCGCGGGTTAACGCCCTTTCTGAGTAATTTTCTCAGATTTGACCTAACTTCAACGGTTTTGCCTGCAGGGGGCAAAAACTGCAAAAATAGCCGATTTTTTCGGAAACAGTTTTCTGCAATAGGGTAGCCTGGGGCAAGACGCCCCAGATAATTTATTTTGCTACTTAAATTTTGTCCCACATCACCTGAAAGGCCAAATTTGTGCTCAATGCGTTCTTTGGACATTTTACTTTAAATTGCACCCCTCAAATTGATTCACTTATGATCGGACTCCAAGCTAGGAAGTGATTTGTGAAGCAACTGCAAATGGGGCATTTTGCCCCAACCCCAGGGCAAAACGCCCCACGGCCTGGGGCAAGTAACCCCATACCTTAGATTAAAGATTTAACATGGTAGTTGGCTAAATCTTATGTGAGAGGTCCGTTAGACCTCTGGAGGCACGGCACTGAAGTTAGCACATACCATCCTTTCAGGTGCTCAGCATATGACACTGTTGTATGAGCAGGTTTTTCACCTACCTCATAAGACCAAATAATAAATTATTGCAATGCAAATGTTAACAAAATACTTCCTTTGCCATCCAGTTGCTGAGAAAAATACACATAAAGGCATAGAAACTTACTGTTCGCCAGCTACCGAACATTAGAAAGTGGGTAGCCCCAACAACACAAGAGGTAAAACGCCCCAGGGGCTTTTTGCCCCGCGACCTTCTGGGGCGCTTTACCCCATCACGTAGTTCGGTCAGAGAACAACGCCTTGCACTCCAGTGAGACATAATTTAACACGAACCAACCCGGCATGATAAGCGTCAGACAATAGTTGTTCAAAATACATAAAAGTCGTTAACCTAATGTGGACCATAAAAGAACGCCATGATTCATAATCTGACAACAAAACATAAAAATCACTCAAAAAACACATTTTTAGCTATATCTCCCGAAAGAGTCATCACAATTTCTTTCCAGTCTGCTCATATAATGATCATATAGTGCACGTTTTATAGAAGAGATGATGTTTCCCCAGAACCCTGCCAGTTCCGAGAAACATCGGTGAGGCGTTTTACCTCGGCGGGGCGACTTGCCCCGGTCTACCCTATCTTTTGACCCAAGCCTTGTATGAGCTAACTTTTACCGGCATCGTGTTCCTCTCGTCAAGACGCATCGAATGAACTATAACTTGACCTTGAAAGGTCAACTTGAAAATTTGACCTCAGGTCAAGGTCATGGCCTGACCGGAAAGGGTCAGGTTGCATATCAGTCGATCCGTATCGTCGAGCTGAATACATCTAAGGCGTTTTCATTGCTCTAGCATGCCTCTATCAAATGTTATTTGCGAAAAACTGTTAGATACCATTCGTGACCTAAGATGACCTCAGGGCATAAACAAGGGTCACGGACACCATTTTCATGTTCAGTGTGTCTAAACCACTTGTAATACGGTGTTTGGGAGTGTTTATAATGTCTTTCGTCCAAAACAGGCGCATTTCAATTTTCTCCCATTGACTTATAATGGGGAGGTCGCAAAATTGACCTGACCTTAGGTCATCGATATCAAAATTCTGAGATTAACATTTTGTACATACTATTGCTCTTAGCAATCGCTGAAAGTTTCAAAGCGATCGGTCACTCGGTGTAGCTATGAAAGACATTGAAACTTTTTATGAGGTGAGGTCACTTTAAGTGACCTGGTGACCTGACCTTGAATGACCTTGGTCTGAAATTTTCACAACATGTGTAGAATTGATGTATGATAAGGTGTACCAAAAACGGCGGCGCTCCGCGCCGCTGTTTTTGAGATATTTGCAAAAAACCACAAGGGGGGTGTTCAAACACCCCCCAGCAGGGCGCGGGTTAACCCTCGTCGGCCGAGAAGGGGTGGGGCGGATGCCGCCTCATAGGGGTTTTTCGCGATAGCTCAAAACACGCTGAGGGAAAACAGCTGAAACTTGGCATACCTAATATTTTATTCAAGCTGGATCTTTTGACACCAACTGCGTTTTCAGGTCAGGTCAGGTCACTGACCTATGACGTCATAAATGAACCTCTGCACGGTC